GAACTGAGTTTATTTAGTCTAGAGAAGGAGACTGAGAGGAGACTTGGTACCAGTCTTCAACTACCTGAAGTGAGGTTTGAAAGAGGATGGAGCTAAGCTATTCTCAGTGGTGGCAAAGGGCAGAACATGGAATAACGGTCTCAAGTTGCAGCAAGGGAAATTTAGGTTAAATATTTGGAAGAATTCTCTCTCTTGGAGGGTAGTAAAACACTGGAACAGGTTACCCAGAGAGATGGTGAAACCTCAAGGAGGTTCTTACAGTGTGTGCAGGACATCCACCTAACCCAGATGGTGTCCAGTCTCACCAGGGGTAGCGCCTTGCTAGACCTGGTCTTAGTATCAGGGTATGATCTTGTGGGGGACCTGCGGGTACCCTGTAACCTGGGTGATAGTGACCACTACTTGGTAGAGTTCACTATCCAGCAAAGGGTGGGCAGAACATGGAATAACGGTCTCAAGTTGCAGCAAGGGAAATTTAGGTTAAATATTTGGAAGAATTCTCTCTCTTGGAGGGTAGTAAAACACTGGAACAGGTTACCCAGAGAGATGGTGAAACCTCAAGGAGGTTCTTACAGTGTGTGCAGGACATCCACCTAACCCAGATGGTGTCCAGTCTCACCAGGGGTAGCGCCTTGCTAGACCTGGTCTTAGTATCAGGGTATGATCTTGTGGGGGACCTGCGGGTACCCTGTAACCTGGGTGATAGTGACCACTACTTGGTAGAGTTCACTATCCAGCAAAGGGTGGAAAAAAAAAAAATATGTGATGCTGAAGTTTTAGACTTCAGAAGGGCCAACTTTAGTAAACTTAGGAACCTAGTTAGTGAGGTGGCAGAACTCAAGAGCATCGAGCTAATGGGGGTCCAAGTGGGTTGGAAGTTTCTCAAGGGAGTGATCCTTGGGGCACAAAAGGAGTCTATCCCCTTATGTGGGAAAGGGGCTAAGGGGACCAAAAAGCCCCCTTGGCTGAACAGGGAGCTTCAGGAAAGACTGGGGGCAAAGAAAGAGATGTATAGGCAGTAGAAGCAGGTAGCAACCACCAAGGAGGCATACACCACCCTGGCGCGCTATTGCAGGGAGTCAGTTAGGCAGGCCAAGGCAGGACTGGAGCTTAGGCTGGCTACAATAATCAAGGACAACAAGAAGTCCTTCTACAGATACATAGCGAGCAAAAAGAAAGTGCAGAGTAGCATAGGGCCCCTGCAGGACAAATCAGGTCAGTGGTGGTTGACACAGGAAAAAAAAGCAGAGCTCTTCAGTGAGTTCTTCACTTCAGTATTCCTTAATACTGACCAAGACAATCCCCCCACCTTGAGCACAGACAGTAATCCAAAAGGCACCAGACAGCCAAAGGTTAGTGCTGACTTAGTTAAGGAGCACTTGAAAGGGCTGGATGGCTACAAGTCAGCCGGCCCGGATGACCTCCATCCACGGGTGCTGAAGGAATTGGCCAGTGTCATTGCTAAGCCACTGGCATGGCTGTTTGAGCTCTCATGGTGCTCTGGCCAGGTCCCTGAGGACTGGAAAAAGGCCAACATGGTGCCATTTTTAAGAAGGGAAGAAGGGAGGAGCCAGGTAACTTTAGGCCAGTCAGTCTTACCTCTATCCCTTGGAAAATACTAGAAAAAAATCATCAAAAGCGTATTTGTGAAGGCCCAGCATGGGAAACGATGCTGAAAGGAAACCAGCATGGGTTCGTCACAGGTAGATCCTGCCTAACAAACCATATAGCCTTTTATGACCAGGTCTCGCACTGCCTTGACACAGGAGCTGAGGCCAATGTCATCTACCTGGATTTTAGGAAGGCCTTCGACACAGTTTCACATACTATTTTCATAGGGAAGCTAATGGGCTGTGGAGTGAACACCTACAGTCAGGTGGTTGTGGTTGACGGGTCATTCTCAGCCTGGAAGGAGATGGGCAGTGGGGTCCTGCAGGGTTCGGTCCTTGGGCTGGTGTTAGTTAATATCTTCTTCAGAGATTTGGACGAGGGTGTGGTGAGCACCCTCTCTAAGTTCACGGATGATACCAAATTATGGGGCAAAGTTAATACACCAGAGGGCAGGGAGCAGATACAGGCTGACCTGGACAGGTTAGATCAATGGGTGGAACGTAATAGGATGCAATTCAACAAAGATAAATGTAAGGTACTCCGCCTAGGAAGGAGGAATCCCCAGCACACCTACAGGTTGAGGGATGTCCTCCTCAGCAGCTCAGAGGCTGAGAGAGATCTTGGAGTCATACTTGACTCCAAGATGAACATGAACTGGCAGTGTAAACAAGGCATCAACAAAGCCAATCGCACCTTGTCATGTATTACCAGATACATGACCAACAGATCGAGGGAGGTGATGTTTCCCCTCTTTGTGGCATTAGTCAGGCTGCAGTTGGAGTACTGTGTCCAGTTTTGGGCACCGCACTTCAAGAGGGACACTGAGGGTCTGGAGAGGGTTCAGAGGAGGGCCACTCGCATGATTAGTGGTCTCCGTGAAAGACACTACAAGGAAAGGTGAGCGATCTGGATCTCTTCAGCCTATACAAAAGATGGCTGAGGGGTGACCTTGTAGCCACCTATAAATTTATCAGGGAAGGACAGCAAGGAATTGGGGATGCACTGTTTACCAGAGCGCCCCAGGGAGTAACTACGAATAATGGGTGCAAACTGGTGGAGAGTAGATTTAGGTTAGACATTAGAAAGAAATTTTTTACACTAAGGGTGGCCAGAGTCTAGAATAGGCTTCCAAGAGAGAGGTGGTGCTATCACCTAACTTGGAGGTCTTCAAGAGAAGGCTTGACAATCACCTGGCTGGGGTTGTCTGACCTCAGTCCTCTTTCCTGCCAGGGACAGGGGGTCAGACACAATGATCCATTGGGTCCTTTACAACTCTACAACCTATGAATCCATCCTTGGGGGTTTTCAAAACTCAACGAGACAAAGCCTTAGCTGGGATCTAGTTGAGGATGGTCCTGCTTTGAGCAGGGGGTTGGAGCAGATGACCTTTTGAGGTCCCTTCAAACTTTTCTATGATTTTAAGTGACAAGTCATAGGAACCCAGTCTTGAGCTCCATCACTAGTTGGACAGTGATGGAGTTCTGCATGCATCACTAGATGTATGCGTAGGAACAGTGCCCTCTGAAATCAACTGTGTTCAGTGTAGGGAGAAAGTGGAAAAAATCCTCCTCGTTAATAATTCTTATTTATCAATTTTATAACTCAGAAAATGGACTGCTTAAGGCAAAATGTGACCAACAGTTTTTTTGCAAATATGAAACATTCAGAAAAGTGCTAAAATTTCCCATTAGTTTTGCAAATTAAAGCAAGCATGTGTCACAATACTTTACCCAAATATAATCTCAACCTTGTTTAGTAAAGTCAAGTGACCAGAGATTAATAACCCCACCTCTCCCCTTTTAAGAGAAAAATATGTAAAGTGAGCTATTTTCTACTTGATATTGGAAATTAGATATAATCCCATTTCACCTTGGTTTAGCTTCAGTATCTTGGCAATACCACACATTAAAAGGAATATAGCCTACATAAACCACAGGCAGAGATCAATAGAACTTCATCGGATTGCTATGATCCTAGTTGTGATGCTGCTCAAAAAGAAATATCCCTTAAAATGACAGGATCCAACTGAATGTGCATTTATAAACACATGCATATTGATATGTACAATAGATGTGTGGTCCAGGTACACTTTGGCTCGCTGGTTCAGGGCTGTCAAACAAAATGCTCTATGGCAGGTTGCCTGTTTGGAATTGTAGCTACCAGAAAGTGGGCATCATTCTTGGTAGAGCTGTATGGTTTATCTGCCCCCATGACCAACTCTGACATCTCTAGGGAGATGTTAAGTAGCTGTTCGAATTTATACCAAATCTAAATCTGAAATATTAAAGATCCTTGACTTCAGATGCTACATGGGGTGCCCAGAGACACGCAACTTGGACAGCACAGAATAATGCATTAAAATCTTCCCAGAATATCAAACTATGCTCCAAGGAAGAAGAAAAATTTCTAAGCAAACCTACTATAGAAGTCCTAGTAGAACTCTAAACCTACTAATCTATATCCAAACCAATAGAGGATGCAGGGCTTAAATGGGTAGTAGCTTGAGTACACATAACTGTCTGATAAGACTGCATTGCCCTCAGATACGCAAAACTCCATCTTAAGTCAAAGAGTCCTTTGGAATCAGAATACAGTTCTTGACAAGGAGCCACATTGATGCAATTAGCAAAGTGACAGGAAAGGAAGTGAAGTTTCTATACAATTCACCTAATAGGTAGCCTCATTTTTGGCCTATTGCTTTTTAAGTAATTTTACTTATTTACATCTAACTCGCTTAAACACAAGTCCTTATACATTTCACAAACTATGGCTTTAAGTTTAATAGTAAACCTATATCTGTTCTCTCCCAAGCTCAGCATTAGTTTGGTGGCTATTTTTAGGCTTTTTAACACTAAATCCTATTGTTTACATGACCTAGAAGATAATCTGTTTATTTTACGGGGAGATAAGATACTAGTGTGTCATTTACTTTGTATCTGTTTTCTTACTGATTAGAAGAGATTAATCACTTTTAGTCGCAGCTATACAATGATTATTTGCATTAATCATTTAATAAACTGAAACAGGATTTGAAATACACATGCTGACAGTGAAAACTAAAAACAACTTACTGCCAACCTTAAGGGGCCATTTCCTTTTTGGATGTCTGGTTTGACTCACCACATGATATACTTTATTCCTTTCCCACAATCCAATTATGTAGTGCCCCCAATAATATTTAGAAATTGAACATATAAGTTGTGTTTCAGAGAGATGTTATAAAAATAAGTTTATGCTCAACTCCTTACACATTACATGTGTACTAAAAACTGCTCCATTAATGCCCATTGCTACATGTGCTAGTTTGTGAATATATACTTTGTTGTTCAGGCCAGCAAAACTGAGATTAAAATCTACATTGCACTGAAGTCATAATTAACACCACATACTTTTATTGTTTTGGTTTGAAGTCTCAATCCATTCAGTGTGTTGATGGCCTTTTCAGCATCCTTGGGGTCAACATAGTTCACAAAGCCATATCCCAAGCTCTGTCCTGATTAAAAAAATAAAAAGGAGACATTATTAGTTCGGTGATACTACATCAGGTGAACCAAGGTATATAAAATCTATGCTAATACACTACCCAAAATTGCCTATGTTAGAGACTGTGCACTGCCTGACACTGATTTTTTCAGTGGCTTACTAGTCCTATTTTCTCTCACCCGTCTTCTTAGAAGGCATTAATGTTTGTAACGGACTCCCCCTACCTTTTCATAAATTGCCCTAGGTTCAGTACAGTGCTTTAGTGCATCGAGAACTTTTATAGTTCTATTCGAAAATAGCAATGAAATTCCCAGACAATGCTTAAGAAAGCAAAAAAAGAAGTCTTAAAAATGATTTGGCACTAGAAAGCCTAGTTAAAGCAGCAACCTCTCTGGAAGCTAAACACTTCTACAAATATTTATTTAGTATATATAGTTGTACTTTTTCACTGCAAAGCCTATTTTAACCTTATGTTCAAGCTATACAGCTACACAGAATTTGGCATCAAATGATCATGTCTTCATAAAAAGACATGACAACTTTGTTTTCTTTTGAATCTTCATCTAAGGCATGATGTGTTTTACAAGTATTTTGTATTAGTTTTGGATCACTAAACAAGTTTTAACAACTGGGTGGTATCTCATTATGTAGCTGTATGGGTGACTTAAGAGAACTTTAAACTTCAAAACCTAGTATGCCATCATGAATATTAGGTGCCTGCAGTATAGGCTTTTTTTTTTTTTTTTTTTTTAAGAGGTTTTTGTATCTATACACACACAAAACTTTAAGCTTGCTTTGTTCAACAAAGGCTTAGAACATAATAAGCATATCATTTTTCATCTGCAAAGAGATTTTCAAATGCTTGCTATCATCACTGTAAAGTAATCAATTATTCTCGTTTTAGATGTAGGAAAAATGAGGCCTAAATGTCAAGGTCAACATTTTCAAATTTGGATTCTTAAAATTAGGCATTTTCACACACAGAAGCACATGGATGATGGCCTATTCAGAAATACCAAGTGCTCAGAACTCTTAATATTTGTCAGAGGAAAACACATAGCATAAATGTTAAAATATTTTGAGGTTTGACTTTATTGCAATATGATCAGGAGACATACGCTAGCCTGATCCGTTTCTAGTAACAACAATAGCAACTTGTTGCATGATTGAGCAGAAAGGAATCATGTTTGTTGATGTCATTACACTAACATCTTCAACAACTCACTGTGGTTTTAACATTAAGCCAAGTCTAGTGCAATAGCATCTGCTGATCTGTTGTATGCAGAAAGAGTGAAAAAGTTTAATTTCTTCTGATGATGTGTAAAAGTGTTGTTTCACTCCAACCCTATGTACCACTTTCAAAATGTTCATGAAATCGACATGTGTTTGCATTACAGTAGTAACTGCATGCTAGTAACAAAGTCCTGGAAGGGAATTCCATCAAGTTAACCACAGGAAAAAGCTCTATTAAGAAAAAACATCCCTGACCTAGAAAGGATTTAAAAAAAGAGGCAAGAGCAGATTAAAAGATACGGGAATGAGAAGTTAATTTGGCCAGTTTGGCTAACCAGATGGACACATTATGCATAACAGTGATCAGTTTAATTTCACTATCTGCATACACACAGTGAGGTTTATACTATGGAAGAGAGATTCCAGAAGATAATTAAACAAGGGTTAATAAAGGACTTTCAGGAGATAAGACAAGGATAGACGACCTGTAGTAGCTGCCTTCCATGTGAGGTTCCAAGTTTTATAAAAATCACCTACCACTGGAGTGACTGGTGCCTCATGAGATTGGGGGGGGGGGGGGGGGGGGGCGTTGCTGTCCCCTGGAACAGGGCTCCACTATGAATTTTTTGGGGGGGGGGGCACATGCCCCCCTATACCCTCTCCTACTAGTTGCCCATGCTACCACATTTAAGTTTGCAACAATCACAGTTAACAACCAAATACACTTGATCTAGTAGTCAAGCCATGCAAGACATCCCTAATCAATTATGAGGATGACAGGTAGCTCTATTTCTGTCTATTCACTTCACCTATACTGCAGAAGAAACAGTAAAGTAAAAAAATGTACTAATAACAAAGGGAATCCACTAGTCACCACTCATCATAACAAAGCTACCTTGAGAACAGCACCAAATCAAAATTGACCTAATCACATCATGAACTAAAGTGATACTGGATAGCAGTCTTCTAAAGAAAATTACTAAATACAACCGATATGGTAACTATTTCTAAAGAAGAATATTCAGAATTTAATCTCCCCAACTTCAGAGAATTGGTTATAAGCCAATAAGTATTTCATAATATCATTCTCAAAACCAAAGCAGTATAGTGAAAAACCTCTGCCTTCAATGCAAGTGAATTTGGAGAAGCATGTCAAAAGTCCAAAGTGATCCACATTTGTCCTATAAGAAACATCTTTAATTTACTTTGTACCTAATTTAAAAAAATAGAACAGCTGATGGACTCCCAACCACAGGGGGCCCCACACACCCACGAGAAGGTAGCTGCTGCAGTCTCCCATGTTCCCACAGCTGTAAACCCTGTAAGCTGAGGGCTCCCAGCTGTGGGAACATGCTTCTTGCCAGCGCAAAGGGAGCCCAGGATAGGGCTCCCCCTGCCCTGGCAATAAAGTACAGTGGGATCTGATTCATGATCCCACAATCACACTTCCTGCCATGCACATGTGGCATGGCAGGGGATGCAGCTGTGGGGATCATGCCTTAGATCCCATTGTGCCTTTACCTGCATGTGTAGAGGAGGCCCTAAATGAAAGTACACATTACATGCTGCTCTTTACTTGTTTCTTAACAATCAAATTGTGTAGTTTAAATCTACACATTTATTAGGAGTAAACTGGAATAGGTTACAGCTGTGCAACATCACAATGTTCTTTAGCTAATGACACCAAAACCAAGACCAAAAAATACCCAATCTGGAAAAGGCAAGAATATTCACGAAAGTAGATAACAGCAGAAAATATATGCATCTGGTCAGTATACATGCAAAAGCTTTTTAGAAGATCTAGACAGGAGAACATGAAAGGACTCATCTGTGTGGTTTCTAGGGGTGTGTGAAGTGGGCCCTATTCGATTTGGATTCAGTCTGAATCAGGAACAGTGATTCGATCAGTTGATTCGGATCACTGTCCCCGATTCAGATTCGACTGAATCCGAATCTGAAGATTTGATGCTAATTGGAGAATCAGCGATTCCGACAGACACAGCTTTAAAAGTTTTTTCTACATACCTTGAGGTAGCAAGTGTGGCTTATGATCACTGCAATGTTGAGGCACATGGAGCATCCCACTGGGGGTGGTCCTGCATGTGATCGGCAGCAAACCCAGAAGTGGACCGGAAATACTTCTGGTCCACATCCAAGTCTGCCGGTGAGTGCGCTGGGGGCCCCCCCATGTCTCCCCAGCTCAGCAATCAGTTACGGGGGGACCCCAGATGCCCCACCCCCAGAACCAGGAGGCATCAGTTGCTGAGCCAGGAGGGCACAGGGATCCCAGGTTTGCCAGGGAGCACACAATGGAAGTGGACTGGAAGTGCTTCTGGTCCACTTCCAGGTCTGCTACCGAGCGTGCTGGGGAGACCCTGTGCCTGTGGGACACTCCATGCACCCCAGCATTCACAGCCCCTGCTACCTAGAGGTATGTAAAAAAACATATTTAAAGCTGTCTCTATGTCTGAATCCACGAGTTGATTCAGAGGGTTCCAATTCGATTCAGAGAGATTAAAGGGTCCTCTGATTCAATTTGGATTTGGAGATTTGGCCACAGAATTGGGCCGAATTGAATTAGGGACCAAAGCTTAGCACAGTTCTAGTGGTTTGCAACCCATAATTCGCAGCTGGTTACCAAATCAAGAAAGAGCTTCTCAGCCGTTTGCTGGGGCTTTTACTTAAAAAGACATCACTTCTCTGATCAGCTCTTCTGAAAAGGTCATACTTCATGCCCTTTCATGTAAAAGACCCATCAAGCAGCTGCAATGCCTCCTGTACCCTTAAATACTTAAAAAACCTCATCTTTGTTAGTGGGGGAGGGGTTGGAACCTATCCTGTGAAACATCTGAGCTCTGCTGAACATAATACTATTAATGTAAAATATTTGAAAATTGAACATGCAAGAATTCAAGTGTATATATGCCTCAAAAAACTGCCAAGAATAGCCAGATCAGGAAGTTTAATTATAAGGTTTTAAATCATCATCATGACTCTGGTGCTAACTACTTTTCATAGAGTTTTGTATGAAATTGTCACAGGAAATGAGACTTGGCTTTGCTGACTTGGAGAAAGAAAACCATGAGATTGCTCCCAATCATGGAAGGCTTTTTTAGAAGTAACACTCTTATAATAGGTTTATTATTCCAAAATGTCATTCCACAGAACACAAACTCAAAGCCCTAAAAAAGTTGGCCATGAAAGAATTTTAGCCCAAGTTAACATGGCTAGGCAAAGAGCAGAATAAGCATTTGATTGCAATTAGGATGATCTAAGTGAGGAATTTAACACTAACTATCCTACTTCATGTGATTTATAGGGCCAACAGTTTTAGCAAGCAAAGTAAAAAGTAGTATGCAAGGTCCTGCCATTAATCAGGTTGTGAAGGGTGAATTATTCATCATTGATTTATCTCAAATGGGAACTATAGCGGGTCAAGATTTCCGTGCCTCTTAAGAGCACCGACTCCTCAGACAAAGAGTTATGGCTTTTTGTGCTCAACAACTGTATGGCAGAATATTGGCTATTTTTAAAAAATCTTTTTAACACTTATTGTCACCTGAAGTTCTGCCTGGAGAATCTGAAAAATTTAAAATAGTCTTGATTTCTGCACCAGTGCTTTTACTTCCCTTTATTTCCTAGTGCTTAGATACCATTTCTCTGGGTGTATCTACACGGAGTTACCCCAACGCAATAAGCTCCACTGCAGCTCACACCAAAGTCAGCTGCTCATGGACACAGTGTTTACATGTATTCCGAGGCTTGCAGCAATTTGAA